CTCTTTAAATTTTGCAAATTGATTTATTATTGATTGAAATGTTTTGGATAAATAAAAAGTAATATTTTATTTTAAAAAACAAGAATAACTTAATAATTTTTTAAAAAGAGTGCATAAACCATAAACATCTTTTATTTCTAAAAAGAGGGAGTATCATAAATTAGATGAGTAAATCAGTTAGGAAAAAATTGGTTAGTAATAAATAACAAGTAAATAATATAGAATGTTGGGAAAAAATTTGTTACCCAGATTTTTACTTTCTCGAAAATATTAAATTTGGAAAAGAAAAGATGCGGTACAAATCAATTATTGCAGGTACCCAGAGTAATTTTGTGTCCTTCCTGGTGTGGTTTACTGTCATACCCAGTGTAGTAAATGTCGACCTGTCGCATATCAGTGTGGGTATATATATTACCAAAAATATGTGAACAGATACAACCAAACAACGACGCAAGAGTATGTAAAAATACCCAAACAAATTACCAAAAGACTCAAGTCATATCTGAATAGGTTTCATTTATGGGACAATTACAAAAATATCACTTTTTGTGTGCATATTTGGAAGAATGCCACTTAGGGGTGTCCATTTACAAAAATGCCACTAATTATAGATTTATAAAGCATATATCTTAAAATTTTAAACACTAAAAAATGTTTTGACACCTAAAACCCCCTAAACACTCAAAACTAAACTATAATAGAACATAATTAATCCAAACATAAATAATCTAAAGAAAAAATAATTTTGAAAAAGTGGCATTTTTGTAAAGATTTCAAAAATGTGGCATTTTTGTAAAGTGGCACTTAAAAAGTGATATTTTTTGAAATTTCTCTTCATTTATTCATGAATCATAGCTTGGTTGTTAGCTGATGTGTCGGAACAAATTATTTACTATTATAAAAAAGGAATAAAAGAAGAAATATGAACACGTTAAAGTAAAAAATAAAATCTCAATTTGCCTAATTCCCAATAATTAATAAAACAAAAAATAATTTCAAATTCTTCATGCTTAA